TTCAAACATCCATGTCTCACCACCTCTCCACCCATTCCTTCACCTATCATCATCCACAAACACAAAACTCACCATAAAAAAACTCTTTCCCTACCTTTTCTCATTCCTCTTCCTTTTACTCTCACTAACCTTCACCACTCAAAACCATGACCTCCATTAACCTCACCTCCACCCTTTCATAACTTTTTTTGTTTTTCTTGGAGAAAAGCACACCCCTAACCCTAAAGTCCTTCCCTTTCAAATTTGAAAAATTTAAATTTGGGACCATTTTACCCTTTTTTTTATTTTTTTGTCCGAATTTTTATTTTTATTTAGTTCAACATACAATTTCTTATTTTAGTTTTATTTATTTATTCATCATCATTATTATTTGTTATTATGATAATTATTAATTTATTTAATGAATGAGTTCTTATTATTTTTTTTATGTTAGCCTTGTTTAAATTATTTTATTTTATTTATTAAAAATCTCTTGATACCATTTACTTTACAATATCATATTTGAGTTAGTTTTTTTTTTATCTCATTTTAACATTAACAATAAATTATTTCCTTTTTTTATATTTCATTATTTATATCTTACTTTTTAAGATTGTTATCTTTTATTTTATTTATTGTATATTTGTATCATATTAATACGATTTAATTTTATATTTATGATTACTTTATCTTATATTGTGAATATTAAATTACTTATTTTTTTGTATAATTAATTAATAAATAATAATATAATTGTATCAATTTATAATACTAACGTATAGTTTCTCTATCGTCATGTATTATAAATTGATAAAGTCTATGTGTACCTACGTTACCAAGACTTTATGTAATATTAATTTATCATATATTGTCATTAATTAATTAGTTAACAACTTTAATAACAATGCAAGATGTATTTCTCTTCTAAATACTAACTTACAAATCGATCAACTAATTTAAATCTAAATTGTTTTATTAAGAAATAATTTATAATGCTAATGTGTAGCGACTCTACCTTTATGCGTTATAAATTGTCAAAATCTATGTGTACCAATGTTACCTTAGGTTTTATATAATATAAATCTATCAAATGAAATTTTTAATGTTTTTATTAAATGAGTATCTTCTTTAATCAATTCAAATAAAATTATTTTTTATTAAAATAGAATTAATTTCATATTTTAAATTTTCTTAAGTCATTTCAAATTTTGATAAATTAAATTACTATCATTTCTTCATTTTATAAATTTCTATAATATCGATGTGTAATTTACATTACCTTCAATAGTCTAATAAATTATAAGAAGTTTATGTATAGCTTACGCTATCTTAAATTTCTTTCAATATTAATCATAATCAAAATTAAAATTCAAATACCCCATTTACGAATAAAATATTTCTTAACGATTTGCAATATAGTTGTGTGATCTTCCTTCACTTTCCGTATTGTTTCTTGTAGGGTACATGTATAACCGCGTTATCTTGTATCCTAAACATTATAATTTTATGAAAATAATTTTAATCTCAAAATAAATTTTCTTTACTAAACTTAATTTTAATCAACCAACCTCATAACTTTTTAGATAGAATTATGTGGCTTTGAGTTCTCCATTGCACCCGTGGATACGTAGGAGCGGGAACCGAACTCGTCAAGTCAAAATAATTTTTAAAATAACCCAAATAATATTTCAATAAATAACATTTCTTCTTCTAAAATAAAAATAATTGATATTTAGGGGTTAAATAAATATTTTTCAAGATTAAAATGAATTCGCGCAATTAATTTAAGGTAACCGTTTTTAAACGGACGTTGTAGAGTGCTAATACCTTCCCTACACGTAAATGACTCCCAAACTCATTTTTGGTTTCAAAGATCATATTTTTAAAATGTTTTTCCAACGTTTTCTTAAAATAAACTTTGGTGGCGACTCCTTTGATATTTTTGAAAGCGTTTTTCGCCGTACTGTTGCGATCGCCCGGTTGCGACAAACTTCATTTGATAAATTTATATTGCATAAACTTTAGGTAACGTTGGTACATATAGATTTTTAACAATTTATTACGCATAAGGATAGAGTCGCTACACATTAGCATCATAAATTATTGCATTATAAAATAATTTCGATTTAAAGAGTGATTAGTAAATTAGTAATTATAAGAGCAATATATTTTGATTAATTATTAAGATAAATTTCTAATTAATTAAATACTACATATGATAAATCAATGTTGCATAAAGCTTATGTAATATAGGTACATTTAAGCTTTATCAATTTATAACATTGGATACTAGAGAAGCTACACGTTAATGTTATAAATTGATGCAAACATCTATTGTTTATTCATTTATCGTAAAATAGATTAAAAATGTAATTTATCCACAAAATAAAAAGGAACAAAATATGAATATAAAATCAAATTACACTCCAAATCTATAAAACACTCAAAAATAAATAATAAAATAATAAAAAGAAAAAATTCAAGAATTATTAGAGAAAAAAAGAGATTAATTATATTATTCTACTAATTTTTTATTTGATTTTGATAAAAAGAGACACATTTTAAATATTAATAAAAATAAAAAATAAAAACAAAATAAAGTGAAAAATTTTAAACAAAATTATAATAATAAAAGATGAGATAATTTTACTAAAATAAATTAAATATAGATAAATAAAATAATAGATAAAACTAGAAAAAGAAACAAAAATAAATAAAATAAAATAAATTTAAATTTATTTATTATTTTCTTGACTTAAAAAAAGAAAAAAAAAATTTTGACCTCAAATGTTTTTAGTTTAAAAAATGGGCTTTTCTGAGCTTAGGATTTTAAAAAATAAAAGGAAATCTAAGATTATAAACGGTCCAGTCAGTAGCTTATATAACTTACCCTCTGTTCTTTCATTTATTTTTCAGGACTTCAGAACATGTTAAAAGTAAAACGAGTTTTATATGCAAAGAAAAAAAAATACATCCAATGCAGTTAGCAAATGGTCCAAATTTGAACCGAAAATGAAGATGAAGAAGACTAAATGGTGTAATTTTTTTTCTCTTCTTTTGACTTTTGATTTCCTTCTCTATTCTTTTTTTTTCCACTTTTTCTTCCTTTTGGTTGTGCTCACTTCTATTTTTGTGTCATTCCTTCTTCTCCTCTTCTAAAATACTTGTTCTTTACTTCTACCCCTTCTCGGATCTTCGTCTCTAAAATGATTTTTTTTACTTCGTAAAATTTTTTTCTTCTCTCTCTAAAAACTTGTTGTCTCCTTTCCAAAATTTTTTTTGCTTTCTTTCAGAGAAAAAACTCCCCTCATAAGATTTTTTGTGTTTTTATACGGGTCATTTTTAGGGTTTTATAAGAGGCTAAAATTATGAGTTTTTCTCTTTCTCATGCATGAAGTTGGCTTTGGGTGCTAGATACAAGCATGCACAATGCAGGATTTCCTTTCCCAAAATCAAAATAATCTTTCAAGTTTTTTTTCTATTAACATAACCCCATTATTTATCTCTTATTTATATATATATATATATATATATATATATATATATATATATATCTTTAAAAAGGAATATTTGAGAGCAAAAATTGGTATTCTAGAAGCTTAATGGTAAAATTAGACAATTCTATAATAGAAGAGTTTCTTTTCATATAAAGCATCTTTTCAAAAGTCGAGATTTATATTGTATATGATCAAATATAATAGAGTAAATAAGACTTTTCTCTTAAAAAATATTCCAAAGAAAATGGTTAGACACTCCAAATCTTATCACATAAAATCTTTTTTTATTATTAAACAAAGATAAAAGTCCAAAACAACATACTAGTCTAGGCTAACACCCTAGGTCAAGAAACTCCTAAGGTATCAAGCATTAACGGGGATCAAGGGAGGGGAGCCGTATAAAAAACAACAGAAGACAATCCAGCCTCATACTCATGTTTAGCCAGCCAATCAGCACATTAATTGGTCTCTCTTAAGATATGGTTCAGCCTAACAAATTTAATTCTCGTAAGGAACCTAATTCCATCAATGATAAAAAATATCAGGTGTTCACTACTCTCAAATCACATAAAAATTTTAAATAAAATAAAAGTTTTTGAAATATATACAAAGCATCCAACAAATAATGCCTCTTTAATTGGTTTCAGGAGTTTAATAAATATTTGAATTCTTGGTTTTTATTGCCTTCTCCTCCCATATATGTCTTCCCTGTTCCCTCACTTACACGGAACGGTCTTTCAACGCTTGATGGCAGAACGAAGGTAGTGGAAAAATTGTTACATAGAACCCAAGTCATACGTGGGTTACTCATGCCATATATAATTAATTATCCAAACAGAAATATATAAAGAGGAATGGTAAGAATTCTTTTTGACACTTTTCAATCATTCCATACAGTCTCCTCTATTATTGATTGAAATCTCATGTTAGTATCACTAAATAATATATGGATCAGTCCACTCAGTCGATAGGGTCAGCAGAGGATTTTATCCAATGATAAAAAAAAAATTATTAAAAAGAGCGTGTTAAGAACGTGTGTTTAACTGTTTATACCATTTCATGTCCTTAAATAAATCATGAAGTACTCGGAAATTCTATTCTACAAGTGAACTTGTGAATTAGACCATTAGACTTCTCTTCTATGAGGCAATCTAAGTGTTATACAAATTCTACAACCAAGTACTGCGACATACAGTAAATTAGCAAATAAAACAGAAAAACAACGACAAGCGATGAAAGCCAAAATTTAATTTAGCACAGAATGTTTACATTATCACTATTGAATGAACTGACATTCAAACTAATTTTATGATGCTGTCTCGAAAGTAAGCGTTAAAAAATATGTATTGATCTATTAAAAAGGAGAATGTATATATCGATATATAAACACGAATATTATGTAAATGGAGATACAATCTTTTGTATTTATATATACTATATATGCATGGATTTATAGTGGCAAGAAACAATAAAATGACGAGGGCATAAAGCATAACACAACCTCTCTCAAATTAAATATTACGATTATTCATGCAAAATGGGGTCCTCAAAAAATATTTCAGGCCAACAAGATGGGGTTCCTCCATAGCTTGAAGTGCAGCTATTGGCATCTCCTGGATTGCTTGTTGTGGTCCTTGTCACATTCAATGGAATAGATGGAGCAGGAGATGCTATAATGCAAGGAGAGCCATCAATTATGTGATCACCTTGACCCATCATTGTAAAGCTATTAGTCCCTTGACCCTGCTCATTATTCAAACGAGATTGGGAACTGAAAGAGACTTGTGGTGGGTCTAAAAAGTGAGATAACATGCTTGAGTGGTGGAGTGGTTGGGAGCTATGATCAAACCCATGAGAAATTGAGGCAGAATTATCAAGTTGTGGAGAGTCCAAAACTTGGTTACTGTCGTTGACATTAGTGATTGAATCTAACAAATTAAAAGCTTCCATGTTTGTGATGGCATTTTGGTCATAGGAGTTATTGGTACCTACGGAACTTGTGGATTGGAGTAAATAATGAAGGCTTTGAAGCTTTGCCACATGAATGGCCTCTGCATGTAACCTCATAGCTTGTTCATCAAAGGATTGATGATCCATAAGGTCTGTCATGTTGGCCAAAGCTAGTAGATATGGCAAGGTGGAAAAAAGATCAGTTCTTGGTTGGTGTGTCATTGGATCAAAACCCATCTGAATCAACTTTTTCTTTAAGTGAGTGTTCCAGAAATTCTTGATCTCATTATCTGTCCTGCCCGGAAGATGGGTTGCAATTGCTGACCATCTACCAAGGAAGCATAGCAAATAATAGAAGTATATTAGTCATAATAATAACTTAACAGTTTAAAACAAACAATGGGAAACAAAAAGTCATAGAAAAGATTTAAACGGGTTAAATCAAGCAGAGTTGAAAGTTCTCGATATCCATTCACCCTCTCCCCAAAATCCAATGATAAGAAAATCATGAAGTTAAAAGAGTAGTGTAGTTAGTTAATACTTTTGTTGGTTATAACTTCAAAATTATTTCAGGAAAAGGAGGAGAAAATTGAAAGTACTTGTTTCCAAGGATGGAATGGAGATGCAGAATTGTCTGCTCTTCTTCTTGAGAAAATTTTCCTCTCTTGATATCAGGCCTTAAATAGTTGGTCCACCTTAGCCTACAGCTTTTTCCACATCTGTTAAGACCTGAAAAATTTTAAGCATATGAATGAATTAATGAGGAAATTAACACTGAAAATAAAAAGTGGTCTAGAATTAATTGCGGTGTATTTAGAAAAGTTTATACAATACAAATTAAGACCTGCTAACTTAGGTAGAGCTCTCCAACTTCCATGACCATGTTTCTGAATGTAATTGACTAGCTTTAGATCTTCTTCAGGAGTCCAAGGTCCCTTCTTAAGGCCAGTTTCATCGCAGCATGGGGGCCTTCCCATGTTGTAATGATATCAAAGATTTACAGTTATTTTGTGACTGCTTCTTTTCTTCTGCTACCTCTAAATTAAACAATTGGGTGGGGGGTTTGCTATTTATATCGTTTATTCTTGCTTGTTTCTTGCGTTGATTGTAGTGCATTACTTCATTTGAAAATTATTTTCGCAATCTTTCTTAGGTTGATCGTAGGTTTGGACACTTCCATCTGGTTAAAGTAGAAAAAAAGAAATATCAAAAGTCTCGACAAGTATATTTTCAATATAAAACTTGTTATTTACTAATAATTTAATATTAAATTAAACTTTATTAATATAATTTTTATTTAAGAAAATAAAATCATTAATACAAATATATTGAGCTTTTATTAAAAAGTACAATATATTATGCTAACAAAAGTAATCCTAATACTTGATAATTTTTTTTTTAGTATGGATTATAATATGGTTACCGATTATTATTTAATAGTATATAAATCAAGTACTATAAAACGTGGTGAGGAAGAGAAACTCTCGGATAGACTTTTAAGGTTGCTTTTGTTTTACTTATACATATCTTTTTGCAAATAGTTCATATTTTAGTTAAACTTTGATTCTTTTAAATGTTGGTAAGCACTATGACTTTAGCTATGTTTTAACTAGTTACATTTTTTTTACTGTTTCACTATTTAACTCGTTATAATGTTATATCTAAGGGGATAAATATTCAGTGATATAAAATAAATTATATAAACACCTGAGAAGTCTTAAGACTCTAATTACATAGCATCTTCCGTCTGGATGTTAGCAGATATATGATGGTGCGTACTACTGTAAGAGAGACGGGTAAAGGGTCCTCAAAATTGGGTATAAAATTAGATTTTACTCTTATGTATTTTATAAATTGTTCAAATAATGTTTAATCGATTAAATTTAAAAACCTAGGTCTGATTAGTTATTATACTTTAACAATGAATATTACATTTTGCCTGCATGTTTTTACTCTTTTATTTGATTATAATTACCATATTTTCTTTATTTGATATTGTTATTGTATTCTTTAAATTTATGTTCACATATAAGTTTGTTGGTGATGTTGTGATTAATGAATAAAATTTGAAATTATTTAGCACGAAACAGCTTGAAACTCGTATATAACTTTTTTTTCTCTTTGTATTACAAAAAACAAAATCACTTATTTAATAAAACTTACCCATAAAAGTTGAATTTAAATTGATAGAATACAATATATTTATTTATTTTTACATAAAAAAATCAAATAAATTTTATTATAATACTCATTTTCTCAATATAATTACTTATATATATAATATATCCATCCTAGTTACTACTTATTACACTTGAAAACAAAATAAAACTTTTAAATATATTGATTAAAGTTTGGCTCCTAATGATGTATATAAAAAAGTTTTTATAGAGAAATAAAGTTCACATAAATAATTTTTACATCTTAAAACAATTAATCTCTAACAGCTATGTGCCGGAAGACATACCTTAGTTAGTAGTAATAATAATAATAATAATAATAATAAAAAAACGTGTGATAATATGTATAGAAAATCAGGACATTTTGGTAATTGTAGGCTAAACAATTTAGTTTCAATTATTAAGGCATAGTATTCTTATTAAGACGAAACTTTCAAATCAGATACTGAGATGGCAAACGTAACACGTGTCGAATAAATTCTCCTTGAGGAACCCGTCCCATAAGGAGGCTATGTCCCCTTTCTTCATGGTTTGCATGCATCAAATGACTCACGTCCTCTCCCTTTGGATATCAAGTGCCCTTTGTCCAAAATGGAATCATTCATTGAATAAAACCATCAAATTTGTATATACAAAATTATTTTCACTTACACTATATGCACTCTATATCCATGCCTACGAAAAATACGGTTTCGTTACCCCTTTATAAGAATAAGACCATTATATAGGCGAAGCTATGTTTTAGGAGTGTGATAAAGAAGATGCACTAGAATATTTATTTGAGTGATCGAATCAAAACATTTAAATTTAAATAAATATGTTTCAGATAATTATGTCTTTTACATAAAACTTGCCCTCCAAATCAATTTTAAGTAATGCTACAGTTATGTTGGATCTGATCTAATTTGAAGAATGTATAAAAATTAAAAGAAATTATAAAAGGAGAAATATTAAGAAACAAAAAAGACAGTTACATATTAAATCATGTTGAGTTTTGCTGGTTTTAATTTTTCTAACTAGCTAAGTAATTAAGCACACACTCGACGCTATGCATGTACGACATGGCCAAACTAGTTAGTTTAATTTGGATTTTCTCTAGCATATTTTTTATTCAGCAAGTATTTAATAAGATTTTACTCATTAATTTAGTTTTTAGTTTTGCACAACAACTAAAGAAGAGAGAAAACATACGATGGGGGATTGAAATTTCAGCTGTAGATAAATCCAAATTCCAAATTAGCTCGTAAAATATGCACATGCTAAACAAAGTCTAAACAGGTAAAATAAAACTAATCAATCCAAGTCGTTAGAAATATTATATACAAGTGCTGTAAACTTAAAAATGAGAAGCCTCAAGCGTAAGAAATGGGACAGAATCAAGGTAAAGGAACGTAGGAGTAGAGATTTAGTTCATTGTCAAAATTAAAAGGACGTAAATGATGTGACTCATTTGACTCGGAGGGTGGTGCAGTTAGAGACGTGGAGGAGAAATTGGTGCAGCAAACGCCCAAATCTACACCAATATTTTGTAACCCTCAATTCGTTCTTTGCACGGTTGATAAACATTTAATGGCATTTGTTGGTGTGGATTGTCCTCATGCACGTTGTTTTGTTGCAGATTTTTAGTCTAGTTACTATTATCCTGCATCTTAAATTAATGATCTCTTTTTTTGTGCAAAAGTTGCAATCTATCACACAATGTGTCAGCCAAATTTCATAACGTCAGATATGTCATGGGCTATATAGGATCTGTAGTTGGTTGTTGGCTATTTATATTGATTCATTATTTGTATCCAAATCGAAATTACCCAAGTTCGTAAGGCCATAAAAATTGAATATTAGTATAATTTGTGGATTAGAGACAATTACCAAACACTGCTGTATGTACGACATAGCACTGTACATTTTATAAAAATGTTGTTAATACTTTAAGATCGGTGATTTTGCGTGTTGGGTTTGTATATGTCTAGGCGTAATACTTTTGTTGTGTCAAAATTTCATATATTTATCTTAGGATATTGTTTTCTAATTTTTTTAATAAGATATCTTTAATATTTATTGAACCAAATTTATTTATCAATATTTACTCTTGTTAGTTTTAATTTAAATTTTCACAAACTCCTTTTGTTAACTATAAATAAAAAATAGTAACAAATTATAAAATGTCTTATTTAAAAAGTATTAAAACCTTCTAAATATACCTAATAAAAAACACAGAAGTACTATATATGTAAGCAGAATAATTCCACGACCTTAAACTTTTTACCTACGTCCAAAATTTAATTGATAGTTGGTTCGTATTTAAAAAATAACTCTTATTTAATTATTTTTAGTCTTTTAAAAAACTATTGGTGTTTAATATGTATAAGATATTTTACAAATTTTTAAATATTTATTCTTTTTTTACATATTCATTTTCAAATCTTTCTAACCTCTTAACAATTAAAATAATATTAAATTTTGACTTTAATTAAAGTTAAACTTGTAATATTGTAATTAATTTCTTAAAAGTTGATATATTAATTATTTTGAAGTAAATTTTCAATCTATATAATTTAGTTTAAAAATCTTACAAAAAAAGACAATGATATATCATACTTAATTGTCAACATCTATATGGAACAGCAAAATTAGCAAACAGAGACAGAGACTATTATATTTTTTTTCATCTTTAACAAATTATTCATTAGTTAATTTCGTACTCGTGATGCAAAATCTCCTTCATTGCCTTTTGTTAGCAAACGAGTCACACACACAATGACTTTGATCCTTCTGCCAAGTTATCTTGTCGGAGATTGTGTGCTGCAATGAGACAAAGGATCAAGTGATGCAAAATCAACTTTTTAGTTTAGATATAATATCATCTTTGAATTCAGTACTGTGTCAGCTAAACAACTGATTTGCTTCTTGTAATGGATTTCCAACCAATACATCTATTAAAACAGATTTCGAAGCCACCTACTTAATGTATGCTAACCCATTTTTCATATGTATATATTTGTCTTATCTTCGTCCCCAAAGTAAAAATGGAGTCTGTTTTCTTGCTTGAAGGACAATCTTTCCGCACTGAATTTAAAATTCTTACCTCTTTCCTTCTAATAAATACCTTACAGAAGATGAATAATTCTAAATTTTTATACATTTGTATATATAATTTTTATTAAATAAAAAGATTAAATACTTTTATATTTTAAAAAATGAATAGACATATTTTTTTATGACACTTATTTTATTACGTAGTATGAAAATTATTAAAACATAATAAAACTCTAGAAAGACTTCTTTAGGGTTAATTTGGACAATGGATAGGTGCTAATTAATGGATATTGGGTAGAAAATGCAACTTGAGCATGCTTGATTTAGCTTAATTTCTAAAATATAATTATTTATATTTTAAAAAATCTTTCAAGAGGTTGTAAAAAATAAGTAAGCATTTTGTTCAAAAGCTAAATCAAGCCTAAGGTGCATGTAAAATTTAAATTAAGAATATGTCCTAAAGTGATACTTGGCAGCATGATAAATATATGATTCGTTCCGCTAATTAAAATGGGAGAATGATATCTGCAAACTTGATTAAGTGTGATGATCGAAGTGAATGGTACTAGTTTACGTTCTTGGTATTTTTACTCGGCATATGCGTTCGTGTAATTACATGTGCAGTTGTATATAGTAATTCTTGGTAAGTGATGAAGAACAAAACTGAGGGCCTTGACAAATTGGAAGTAACTTGTGTATAATGCCTCATTGATAACCTAATCTTGACCAAGAGAAAACTTGGTTGAGTCTACTTCGGCCAAAGA